AGCTTGAATTGTGTGGTAATAACTTTCGTTTCGCTCATTGTATTTTAGTTTTTACGAGATTTCAAGTATAATAAATATATTGAGATTGAGATAGACGCTTGGAGGTTTCATTTTTATAAAACATTTCTCCGACGCGGCGTAGATAGAATCGATTAATGTCCGTTACAGGAAGTGATTTTGCGAATCAGACGAGGAATTCCTTTAAGTAAAAAATATGTTATTCGTGAGCTTGGAAGTCCGCATTGGACTCAAGACCTCGGCCACAGTTTTTCCCAATACGGACCGACTTAGGGTGGTGAATAATATTTTTATTTTTTTTCTCTTAAACTTAACTAAATTCTTTCCAAAAGAAATTGAATGATTTGGGGCTTTAATTACAGCAAGATCTTCCATAAACTGAAAATTTTTTGAGCGAGTGAATGGTAGTTAAAATAGAGGTACTGCAAATTAAAGAGAGCTGCTTCACCGAAACGACAGTGTTTTCTTCAACTTACGGAAAGTATTATTCACTCTCATCGACGATTAATTAATTATTAAGAGGCGATCTCTGTAAGAGCGGTCCAGGGTATTTCGCATCGGAAAAAAGTTTTCCCTCAAACTTTGCCCAATAAACTATCTTTGGTAGCAAGTAAATAAAACCACATTAGTTTCTGGAAATACGTTAAAATAAAATTTTTAGAGGTCTCAAAAGTCAAAGCTGCTAAAGGCCCTTTTTTGACCTCTTGCGACATCGAAAATTTCAAAAGTTGAATAACCTGGTCCTCGTATCACACCACATGCAGCAAAAAATCTTTTGTATTTTTAAACTGTGTGATAAGTTAGGTGAATAAAAAATATTTCAATTTTGATATTTGTTTATTTAGGGGTTCGTCATAATTTATTTAAAAACACTCGTTACACAGCTTTCTGAAATTGGTCAAAAGTACTCTTTCCTTCTTGGTTGATATTGCTCAAGTCCAGACCAGACCGTTCAAAACTCCGCTTGATTTCTTCTGATATGATGTTTGGCTGCAGAAAAATATAAAAACATCTTGCACTTATTAATTTTGTTCGCCGCGGTGACTTCAAACTTTCAGCGATTTTGCTAGCGTGACAGCCGATTATGCAAATTAGTTCATTGAACAAACTCCGACCGTTTTATATAGGTAGCTCAATAAATCTTAGATTTTAACCGTTTTAAGTTGAAAAGATAGTATGACAGAGCTTTTAGACTACACCGATTGATACCCTAAACATTTCAAAAGGCCAGAATTTGACAAATTGTACCCTCTCGTGACGCAAGACGTCAACAACAATGCATCGAATATCATAATTTGATTAGCGCTCGTCTAACATTTTAATGGCAAACTATATTTTAAAAATTTGGCTTCTGCTATTTCATGCATATTTGAGTTCTGACAGCTTACGCTATTCAAACCTGTACGAACATTTTAGAACCAAAGTTCCAAAGTCCTGACAACAGGATTCTATTTAGCGTAACCGGCGGTAACAGCACACACTGAAATACACCTTGACCAGTGACTCTGTCACGTAATTCCATCGTATAATTGTCCTGAATACCTCTCAAGTCTAAGTAAAGCAGCGATTGCTCGAATTTCTAGCTGACAGGAACAAATGATATTTGGTCGTCACACCTGTCTGCATAGCAGTCGCTGTTCACAACTTTGGAGAGTTCTTGTGAAAAAGGATATCGCATTCGCTTAACGGGTGAACGTCATAATTAGACTTCATTACAACTCCACTCCGAAATCATTTCCTCCATTTTTGCTAGAAGTGTTGTCTTTGTATCTCGCATTTTGAATGCGAGCTCAAAATGTTTGCACATGTCTCTTAGTACCTTGACAATTAGGCTGGGCAACCTTCCCTCTTTTGCCAACGAGCACACATCATAGACATCAAACATGATTGGATATTTCAGTCCTATCTCATCCATTACTGTGTTCCTGGCCTCTCTCAAACACGAGTACTGCCTGACGGTTTGCGAAAGCCGTACACTTGCACCTCTCGTATGAAGAGCTCATCCCATGGGAAGCTGTGAAGCACTTGTCAAGGGTTCTGTGGCCACTGCAACCAGTTCAGTCGAACCCTCTAATGACAATGACTGAAAGTGATGAACCCACTCCCTCTTCACTTTGCCATAAAGACTTTCAGTCATGCTCGCAGACACAGGACTTACATGATGAAATACCAAGTTCATATGGAGCTCAAGGTCGGATTCTGTGACGCAGGATTTTTTCAACAGGCACCTCACTCTTCGCCTGTGCTCTTGCCTTCTTTATTTGTCTATCGGAGAGGTTTTCAAATGGCTGATGCATGCGTTTAAGCTCGTTGGCTGAAAATCTATCGGCATAAATACTCAGTATTTGAGTCCTAAGTGATTTTGTGGGAGCATTCTAATAGGCGACCGTGAGGGTTTGAAGGCCAACATCAGTAGCTGTCTTGCACTTCTCTTCATGGTCTACGACCGCTTGGAATAACGCTTTTCCATCTCTTAGAGCCAAACTCAGGTTTTTGGGGAAAGGAGCATTTTTCCCAACAATCTACTTGGGATTCCAAATGAGTAATCCTGGGCCCAGTTGTTCGAAGGCCGATTAGCGCTAACCCAGGGTTAAATTTTAATCTGCGTTTCTTTATTCCTTTACTCAAAAGCCTTTTTTGGAAAATTTTCAGTGTCCTTTTTAAAGCATCAAGTAGTCATACTATAAACAAAAAGAATTCGACTGAATTTTCTTGTAAAGCTTTTAGATCTGAAATCGGATTTCACTCTAACCCTGGGTTATCTTAACCCAGCTTTGAACAACCCGGCCCTGGGCTTTTGTGCAACATCGGCGAGGCTATCAATATATGCATATAAGACTTGAATTGGATCTATGCTAAAGTTCTGAATAGAACTGTCTTTAAGACTGGTGTGCAGACAGACTTTCTCTTATTCCTGCCGACTAGAATTCTGATCCAAAAAATGATGTTATCGCTGCTTTATTTAGAAAGGAGAAGCAATTCAGGATAATTACACAATTGAATTACGTGACAGAGTCACGGTTCACGGTGTATTTTAGTATGTGCTGGTATCGCCGGTTACACTAGATAGGATCCTGTAGTTAAGCTCTGAAATGTTCATACAGATTTGAATAGCATAACCTATCAGAACTCAAATATGCATGAAATAGCAGAAGCCAAATTTTTAAAATATAGTTTGTCATTAAAATGTTAGACGAGCGCTAATCAAATTATGATATTCGATGCATTGTTGTTGACGTCTTGCGTCACTAGAGGGTAAAATCTGTCAAATTCTGGCCTTTTGAAATGTTTAGAGTATCAATCGGTGTAGTCTAAAAGCTCTGTCCTACTATCTTTTCAACTTAAAACGGTTAAAATCTAAGATTTATTGAGCTACCTATATAAAACGGTCGGAGTTTGTTCAATGAACTAATTTGCATAATCGGCTGTCACGCTAGCAAAATCGCTAAAAGTTTGAAGTCACCGCGGCGAACAAAATTAATTAAGTGCAAGTTGTTTTTATATTTTTCTGCAGCTAAACATCTTATTAGAAGAAATCAAGCGGAGTTTTGAATGGTCTGGTCTGGACTTGAGCAATATCAACCAGGAAGGAAAGAGTACTTTTGACCAATTTCAGAAAGCTGTCTAACGAGTGTTTTTAAATAAATTATGACGAACCCCTAAATAGACAAATATCAAAATTGAAATACTTTTTGTTCACCTAACATATCACACAGTTTAAAAATACAAAATATTTTTTGCTGCATGCGGTGTGATACGTGGACCAGGTTATTCAACTTTTGAAATTTTCGATGTCGCAAGAGGTCAAAAAAGGGCCTTTAGCAGCTTTGACTTTTGAGAGCTCTAAAAATTTTAATTTTAACGTATTTCCAGAAACTAATGTGGTTTTATTTACTTGCTACCAAAGATAGTTTATTGGGCAAAGTTTGAGGGAAAACTTTTTTCCGATGCGAAATACCTTGGACCGCTCTTACAGAGATCGCCTCTTAATTAATAAGGAAAGTAAAAGTAAGTCAATTCGATTTTTTTGTTATTTTTTATTTTGAGGTTATTTTGTTCACTACGAACAAATTGTTTAAAAGAATTCAGATACTATAAAAATGAAAATTCCATCGATTAATTCGATTGTAACCAAAATACCAAATACCCCACGTTTTCATCTTTTTGTGATGGATGAAAATTAATTACAGACTGTTTTTAGGCCGCTTGTCAACTAATTTAAAGAGGCTTTTGCTTATACAAATTCATTTCCAATATTTTTCTGTCAACCGAAGTGATTTGAGAGAGTACAAAGAAAGGATTAATAAGTTATTTATCGGCTTGAGGTAGTGACCGACGTCTTTGCTTAAAAAAACTGCCCAGCCGGAAAAAAGAGATATGTTTATGTAAAGTGACAACGAAGGCAGAGATGTACTCGGCGACTCACGAGAGCGTTACCGTTGCCCGTGGGCAGAGATAAGAAAATACGGACCGCGCAAAGAACCAATATTGCAGGATTCGTTACCGTGGCCTCTGAGAAAAAAATGAACTAGTTTATTGAACAAGCGGCACTGAAAGACTAAAAGAGAATTTCAATCGATAGTCTCTTGGAAGTATTATATATTTTAGGGCGTAGTTTTACTGTTTGGATCTATTTTCCACTTTTGAATACTGAACTGTTCTGTTAATAAGTAAAGAAAACGCACACACACACATTCTTAGATTTATTTCTTTCCCGAAAAATGTGGATTATTAACAGCAATTATGGATTGCTTTTGGTGAATTTTCAGGCAACAAATTTTAATCAAAATTTGCATATACTATGATTGTTATGTCTTGAGTTTTTTTTGAAAGACATCTCTTTTTTTTCCCTTTAAAGGTAGACTGTCGTCAGGCAGGAATATCTTTTGGGGAATGATCCTCGATATTTTCAAATTCAATAAAAGCGAAGAGGTATGTATTGGCTATTCCGAAATTTGAGATTCCTTTTCCTCGCTTCTACCATGGAATTTGTCACAGCGAATGATCAATGCAAGACAGAAGTAAACATACAAGGAATGGCTCTCAAACGCTCTGTCTTTAAAAGATGGTCAGTGGCGAATCCTCAGCTTTGCGATGTCAAATGTGGACAAGAGATCGCGTGCCAAAGTTATAACTACAACCGAAAATACCAAATATGTGAACTAAATAACCGCACCAAGGAGGCGAGACCAGAGAATTTCCTTTCAGCCCCCTCGTGGTTTTACATCAGGCGATTGAACGGCAGAGGTAAGAAGTCAGAAGTCTATGTGTCTCGCTGATTTTTGTTTCTCTAGATTTTCTCCCCACTTAGCCAACCTTGTTCCCTCTCATCTATGATTGAAAAATAAGAATAAGACGAAAACAAGACTTTTGTTTTTACTGCAGCTCCTTTGGGTTCTATTCCTGAGTTACCGGCGATATCCTGTCTCGAAATAAAGGCGAGTGAAGGTAAAAACACCATCAGCGGCAAGTACTGGCTGGATCCAGCAGGAACTGGGAAGGCAATATTGATTAACTGTGATATGGCTAGCGGGGGTAGGTCTTATTTTTTTTACGAGTTATACCACAAATTATATTAATGTTATTTTTATTTTTATCACTAATATTTGTTTGGTTAATATCAGTTCTAGCGTGGATACCCTATTCACTTCGTTTTACTTTATTCTTTGCCTTTATTCTAATTTCTAGATATGGATGAATGTAAATATAACATCAGTGACTGCGATGTGAATGCAAACTGCACTAATACGTACGTTTCTTACAAATGCACTTGTAAAGCGGGATACACTGGCGATGGACACTCATGTTCAGGTACAATTAATTTCGTCATACAAGATGACCATGAATGTGTTTCTCCATCAACTGTTTTAGCTCACCGCTATGCGAGGTCTACTCATGATGCTGAGTTCAGCTACAGATTAAAGCAAATTTATAGTGTTGAAGTAGTTGATGAATGCACGAATACATCAAGGTTATATCAAACACTTGCATCGGAGGCAAAAGGAAACATGTATTACGCTGTGTTATGTAGATATTTTTTTTGGAGTGAAGCGATTATAAAAACATTGGTGACATTAATACGAAACAAACCAAAAAAAGTCATCTTCCACATCATTGCCAAGAAATCGCCATCATCATCCACCATCATCCTCGTCACCATCACTTTGATCATCATCATTACAAACACTTTTGTTTACATATATATATATCGATGAATGCAGCAAGAAAATCCATGTTTGTGACGTGAATGCAAATTGCACTAATATCAATGGCTCTCATAACTGCACTTGTACGGATGGATTATTACTGAAATTTCCAATTATTTTAAGTTCAAAGAATTGGCTGATCACTGCATAAGAATATACTTCTGTTCCTCGCGCAACTGCAGTTCTAAGGAATGATAGATTGAGGATCGATCAAGTGTTAAGAATAGCTTAAGCATCTGAAGCAACAAATTGTTAATGAAAGTGGAAATTGTGGGTTCCCATTTTTTATTTTCATTACATACATGCACAGTATTTAATTAATGAAAGATATGACTGCAACCGAAGTACTAGTTAGGTGACAGCTGAGTAATACTTGTGCCCAATTTTTCTTCTGCCCATTTTCTTTTCTTTCTATTTAATTTCCTTTTTTACATCACATGCACCTCTAGATATCGATGAATGTAGCAGTGGAGACCATGCTTGTGACGAGAATGCAAACTGCACCAACACCAAAGGCTCTCACTTTTGTACCTGTAAGGAGGGATATACTGGGGCCGGAAAGTCATGCCAAGGTACATTATTAAATTAGCATACGAACTTTAGCGCATTTCTGACTGTTGGTTCTCTCCGACAAAGCAAATAGGCCCGCATTTGCACGCCACGTGAGATTGGCTCTAGCATCGAACAGAATCATTTTTCACAAGTAAGCCATGCTTTTTCCCGTGGATAGCGCCACCATCTCCAGTTTCTATTTTGTAAATCAGAAACCTTAATTCTATTTTTATAGTATATTTCGGTAAGTTACACTACTAGGAAGCTAAGAGTCTTTAAGCGCATTTTAGCGGCAAAATAGTTTCTCGCGAAGTCTCGACCAAACTTCGGTCATTTACAATTGAATAATAACAATGTCACAATGAATATTTGGTGAGATCGACACCATTGTATTGAACCTTCACTCCCAAAATCACATGAGTAATTCTCCTTATTGTCTGCCATGGAATTTTTATGATGCTAGCTCGGTGAATTCGGTAGTGAATCAACTAATACTCCCCTAAAGTATATTTTCCTTTATTTTCATCACTTGTCTGTTTCAAATTGTACTGATTTGGTAAGGAGAAATTCTGTCTTGTCACTCATGGGAGTGAAGGAGTTAAATAAACATTCAGAAGTAAAAAATCTCAACTGGAAAGGGGGAATTGATGGATTTAGGCTTACAAGACAGAACAACAGATTTGAAATTGGGGGAACCGAGAAATAAAATCTGGTGAGTGGTAATGTGAAGTGCTTGCGTCTACAAACACAAGAAAGAAAGAATCAGGTATCTCAGCTTATGCTCGGCAAATTTTTTATTTATTTATGATTTTACAGATATTGACGAGTGTAAAGGAAATCACTCTTGTCACTCAAATGCTACCTGCATGAACACCCTTGGATCACATGTATGTGAATGTCACCCTGGATATACTGGAAATGGTCGAAACTGCACAGGTGAATTTAATTTTCCTCGCTACATGTATTCTGTGCTTAGAGTAGTCCTGCATGACACGTTGGACTACAGCACCGCACCATTCAGCCGCGTTGCAGGAAAATTAGAGAATTTATCACCCATAACTCGTTTTAATTTGAGGTTACATCCCATCTACAGATGCCGAAAAAATCGATTTTTCTTTTATTTAGAAAAGCGTACTTTCGAATAAAAGTTAATGAATAAGGACCTAGGCGAATCCTCTGGGGGAACTTTCGCGGCAACCGCTCATGTTGAGGCTCGATTTTCATGTTATTTCCATATTTTGTTTATATCGCACACTTTACAAATTTCACATGTGAAAGCTTCTTTCTTAAGGAAAAATCTTTGCTCGTGGAAAATCATGAGCGGAAGAAAGTCGTTGGTGAAAAAAATAAAAAATAAAACAGGCTTAAAGAAGAAAGAAAGAGTACCAATCTGTTAAGAAAAGAAAAAAACTTCCTTTGTGAAAGTGACTGGTGCTGGCGGAGCTCCACGCTGGCGTCCAGAGTTTGAATAAAGAAATCGCCGTCAAATCAAAATTTACCATACACAATGTTAAAACGGGGTTTCCCTTTCTTTATGCAAGTACCAGCCTTGATGCAAAAAACATTTGTATACAAAACACTTGCCTCGGATCGCAATTTTGAAAGCTGTATGTCGATTCGTTGTCTTCCTCCTCAGCACATTTTGCAGTTTTTCCATTTTTGTCGCGGGTGTTTTCTTTGCATTGGCAACTTTTCTCATCATTGTGTCGTCCTCCTTAACGCTCCACTTATTATCATTATTATCATCAAGTTTAAATAATCAAGATACTACGAGTGCCCTGATTGGTCAAAAAGCAATCGTTGTTTGCACTCGTAATTTATGGAAAACTGAATTTTATGTTATTATGGTAACAGACAGCACTTTCTATCGGTTTAGCAGCGTAGTAAACGTTTCCAGATGTTGGGAAACAATTCGAAAAAAAAAAAGAAAATCAATCACCTTCAGCTCACCTTTCACCTTTCTGGTGTTCTCACAACAACCCATGTGGGTTATCTCGCCAGTAAACTGATAGAAAAAGCGATGAATAAAGGGGGTTAGGTTTTAAAGAAACTGTGGTGCTGCGTCGGTGGGAGAGTATAACAGAGTAATTCAGTATTATAAACAAAGTTGATAACGTAAATTGGCCACCGTAAATAGTTTTAAAGCTTACGCTCGAAACGTCAGCTTCGTAATTCTTTACGGTGGCCAATTTACATTATCAGCTCAGTTGACGAAACCAAATTATTTCACTAATCAGATTCACGAGAAATGCTAAAATATAATAAAAAAAATTTAAAAAGGAAAATCCAGTTGAGGTACAAACAACTCAGGCTATAAAGGGCGATCAAAGCAAGAGGAAACAACTCTTTACAATAAAAGCTAAGTTTTTTTTCGTTTGTCTCACAATGTAGTCGCGTGTGATATAGATCGCGACGTTTCGGCTGCATACTGCTAGTCTTCTTCAGGCGATGAGGTCGACTGGTCATATGTGATCTTATAAGACATGATGCTCTGCTGTGATAAGTTATTTTTCAACAGCTCTTGGTGCATTTCGGTTCCTGCTGTTTCACTCAGTGATTTTCTCCCTCGGCGGTCCGCTGTCGCACGGCTCTCCTGTTGTTGTGTTTTTTGATCGTGGGTATCCACGCTTCTGGAATTTCTATTCCACTATCCCTTTTGATGTTGTTAGGGTGAAATCCTATATGATTGCTACTTTGACTCTGCGCGTGACCCTTACCACTACACGCGTGAGACAAATGAAAAATTTTTATTGTTATTATATATATGGTTTCTCAGATATTGACGAATGTAAAGGAAATCACTCTTGTTACGTGAATGCTACCTGCACGAACACCAACGGATCCTTTGTGTGTGAATGCCAGCCCGGATTTAATGGAAATGGTCAAAACTGCACAGGTGAATTTAATCTTTTTGGTACAATATTTAGAATACTCTCGCTCAAATCTCTGAGATGGCCACTGTCAGCCATTTTATTAGTTTTTCATATGTAAACGATACTGGCTGTGCCTTAGGTCTACCTAGAGCTGTCCTTTAATGCCCTGTCTGAGAAGGAAAGAGCTCAAATTCGGATCCTTTTGAATTTATTTGGATCTTTAATATCACTGTTTTAGCTTCTTCAGTGATAATATCCTACGCATGTACTACTTGGCCCCTTAATTAATATATTCTTAAGTACAAGTTTCACCACTGATTGACAAGCTGCCGGAGTTATAGGACGTTAGAAAAGATCTTGAACCATTGATGTTAATAACCTAAGTCCTGTTGCAATTATTATTTCACTTTTTAGCTGATCCTTGCTATCATTATAAAAACTTGAGTTATGCCAATAGAAAGATAAGTTACGCAACACCTATCGGTTCAGAGTTGTGTGACACCCAACTCCCTTCAGGATGGTATCGTTTTGTGGGAGCTGCAGGAACAAAAATGCCAACAACACGCGTGTCAGCATACAGGTGTGGTACCAACTGGTCAGGCTGGTTGGATGGTGCTCATCCTACAGTGGAAGATGGTGAAATTAAAAGGATGGTCTGCTTTAGTGACCGTTCTTCAGGTTGCAAATACGCAATCCGCATTTATGTGAAGAACTGCTCATCCTACTATATCTACAAATTGTTCCGCCGCCGGGTTGTTCGTCGCGCTTCTGTAGTACAGACTAAATATGCTGAGAGAAATTTACGTAATAATAGGATTCATAATCGATGTATTTCAAGGATTTGGCGTCATGATCTTGAATATTTTGGTAAATATTTGCGCTGGTATCTTCTTGTGAATGCTATCATTAAAAATCATATTTCCTACGATAAATAATTATTTCAGTAGACAGACGTGTCATTCTCGCAGCATGAACTATCGAAAAGTAGGTTAATATAGTTTTCAGTGGGGTCCAACACTGAAATTTTCTATAGCCTTTGTTAGTACCTTTCATTGTTACTTCTTTTATTTATCCTTATATCTTAGCATGATGTTTGCTTATAAACAAAAGTACAATCAAAGATATTGTTCTATCGCTCGCCAACTAGTCTTGATAAGGGCGAACTTGCTAAGAGCTTTCACACGGCAATTATTCAATACTTTATTTTTAATGGAGTAGTATCCATTTGAGCCGAGGAGCTGTAGATACAAAATTCCGTCGTTGTTCTATTACTTAAAAAACATAAGGGCCTAGAAAAGAACCCTTCGAGGACAATTGATAAATTTTTGATAATTCGACAAAACTTGGAGTCATGTACAACAATTTATAAACAATTCATCTAATATACCTATGTCTCGTGGAGGAGAAAACTTGAGAAAAGAAGAAACTATTTAATTAGTTATGGTCGTTATCAGTTAGACTCGGCTCAGAGGGTAGGGGATCTTAGTTCAATGTGTTGGAAAGACCGTAATTTATTTCAGTAGGGCAGTTGACGTTGAAATTTTAAGTTGCTATTCAGGCGAGTTAAGGATGTTCAGGAACACAGAAAATCTGAAAACTTTTCACCTCTAAAAGCGTTTTTGTGATAAAAATATCTAAATATGTGAATGAATAAACCCCTTGGAGGGTCACAAATGTTATTAAATTTTCAACTCCGTATATTGGACTTTTAGTGTTCTTATTGGTTCACTCAACTCTGGTTATGAAGTGAGAGATCATTGTGATATCAACCCTTTTACTACCAAGATCTCGTTAGTAACTCTCCTTACCTACTTCCATATAATTCTGAAGATGTTAGTTCCAAGAATTTGGCGTTGGATCAACTGGTAATCCCATAATTGATATTTTTCTTTGTTCCCATCACTCACCTGAGTGATATTGTATTGATATTGTAAAGAGAAGTTCTGGCTTGGTTACTCATGGGCTTTAAAGGGTTATGAGGCTAATACACAATTGGTTAGAAAAAAAACACCAAATCCCTGAAATTGCATATTTCTGTAAGTTCTTCGATTGTATTCTTGGTAAATATCAACCAGGTCAATTAATGCGCCAACATTTCTGAAAGAAAAAAAATTCCGCCATTCTAACCTCTTACCTTTGAAGCTATAGTATAAAAGATTATTGGACATAATCATATCAAGTTCCAACCATACACAAAGTTTAACAAATCATGCCCATGGCACCATTTTACAGTTTTTCCATCAAAGCAAAACTTAGAATAAGATATAATTGCAGTTACAAGTGACCTCTAGAAGACATAGCAAAGGAACTAGACTTGCAAAGAGGCACTCAAAGCAATGAGAGTCCAACATTGGTTTGGCGGGGTGCGGGATGAGGCTTAAAATCGAGGCAGAATTTGGGATACGAGAAATTTTTAAGGCGAGATGCGGGATAAAAATAGGGAGGCGTGACCGGAATACACTCCGTTTTGAAGGCGGGATAAGGGACAGGACGGGTATCGATGGGATCATAATTAGGCTCAAGTTAAGATTTACCGACCTCGGAGACATAAGAGAGTATCAATTTTCGTTAGAAACGGGCTTAATAAATGCCCCACTGTAAGTTGGGATTGACAGGCTTAAATTACTCCGTGGTACGTCAAGTTTTCTCTGTATTTGTTACAAGTGTTCACATGTTCACTGCGGCAGGATGGCGGGATGGAATGAAAAATAGCGGCGGGATGCAGGATTGGAAAAGTCTATTTTGGACCCTTAGCAAATGATGCCTAAATTTAATTGATTCCTGTCTAGGGGTTGGCAATCAAATTCCCCTCATTCTGTATTCTCCTACAGCCATATTGGACTCGTGTTAGCGGGAGGAAAGAAAAAGAGAAAGAAGGAAAAGCTATTCTTCCGAGGTGAAAGTCTAATTGATCGCTAGCAGCCAAAACACGATTTTAAATTTTTATATTCGTGATATAATATAAAACTCGAAAACTTATCTTACAAGTCTCTTGGCCGAGGCAAAACGCGATTTCCCACATGCCATTTTCGGAATAGTGTTAGCGTTTTTTGTTTTTCCTTTTTTATTGAAGATTTATTTTATTCCAAGTCTCTTAGCCTCTGACGCAGAACAAGATTAGAACGACTGTCAAAAAAACCTCATCTGTGCATTAGCACTAAAGTTCTTTTAGAGTTTCAAATGTCGTAAACCAAACCAATTTAAGCAAAAGAGACTTCAGGACAAGACAAGTCAGGACCATACCATTTTACCCTAAATTATTCATTTCAAGTGCTACTTTGTTCAAAATTGCTCTGCTGCTGTTTGGTAGCAGATAACACTTCAAGAGAATCTGAGCGATTTCGAAAATATTTGGCAAACCCCAAGGAAGAAGAAAGCAATCCAGAACAAGTGAAAGTGAGACTGTTAGAATGAGAATTTTGAACCATACTGTGAATTTTTTCTCGATTTATTCATTTCAAATAGTATTTTGTTCAAAAATCGCTTCGCTATTGTTCAGTTTCAAATCACACATTATGAGAACTTGAACTATGTTAAAGATAATTTTAAAATTTTCGGAAGAAAGAGTAACTCTTAAAACAAAAAAAAAAGTGACGGCGAGCTTCTGTTTATTCATGTATATCATCTTACAACGAAGAAGGCAGGAGATTTCCATTCATTGTTTATTCTGCAAAAATTATCTTGCTAAACGCCTGCTGTCGTGAGGCCAACAAAAATTCTTATCTCTCACTTGTAGCTTGGATAATATTTTCACATGTTTTTCCCTTAAGAATGAGAAAATTAACTTCGAAGATGAGGCCTTAGTGAGAACCGCGAAAATAGGTTAAAAACGACATTATTTGCAAAAGACTCTTGCGTGTTAATCTAACGGTGTTTAAAACAAGAAGGTACAAATTTAATTATGCAATAATTAAAAATATTTCAACACTTCTCAACTAATTTTGGATGGCAAAATAACCTCTCATGTTTGTAGCGTCATTACCAACAAAAAAATGTACCAGACGTACTGAACTTAGAGTTCAAATTCAAATTTTTATAACTAAACGCTGTACGCACATGAAAGTGTAAGCTTGACACTAATTACAACTCTTTTTTTTTTGCTGCTTAGTTCAGTACGTCTAAGTCTTTATGTTGTTCGTACATGATTCAGTCTTGTTTACATTGAAAAAAAATGAGTGTTTGTTCGAAGATTTCCACCAGAACAGGGAGGTTATCAGGGTTATATTTATACAACGGTGGAAAAATTAAACGAAAGAAATAGCGTTCCTCAATGCTGACTTGATTTTTCCGTAGCCAGACGTTCTTTCTTTATAAGTTTTACTATTAATAATCTTATGGACACGGTTTATTTACCTTCCTTGGGTAAACATTGAATTATGAGAAAATTTGAGGAATAAATAGTTAAAATAGGTCTAAAAGCTAATTTAGACCGATTAGTTGAAATGCACGCGATTTTAATGATTTGGAACTAAAAAGAAAACAAATCGTGACATGTTTATTTTTTTTTAAGAAAAAAAAGAAACTTGTCATCGCTGCGATATTGCTCGAAAATTTGATTCTTATTTTGTTAAATTTTTCCCAGCCATTATCCTTTCCTTTTAACTCCCTGAGCGAGGAGCTTAAAGTGGAAAAAATAAAATGTTTTTAGCATTTACTTTTATTGGCTTGGATCCAACTTGAAGTATCGTAACCATAGCTACCGCACTGTGATGAAAGAGAACATTTTTAATTCCGTAGCAGTTAGGCGATTTTAAGCATCCTGAGAAGGTAAGAAACAATCATAGTTAATAAACTGCCAGGAAAATTTCTCTTCAATAAGAATCTTCCTTCACCCGCATCTCCTATATTTCTTTGATTTAGAATTACATAGGATAAGTTTTTCCCAACTCTGGAGTTAGGGTTTGGCAAATTGTTGTCGGCAAACTCACTAAAGCTGCTTTGAAATGGACCATATCATTAGTTTTAATAAATAGTTTTCTTCCTACTTCGGGTATACTATCTAAACCTCTACATTTTAATTCTAGTACGTCGTACATTCCTCTGTTTACCTCATAATCTGCCAATACATACAGCCGCCGTGGCTAATGTTTCAAGTTGGCCAAAAACTTTGAATTTGTTGCAATCGAAAGAGGATTTCCTTTAAATATAATTCATTTTTCGAGCAAGTAGAAGAGGATAATTTGTTTGAGGTCGGGCCTTACTGTTTGAATCTATCTTACCCTTTTAGCCAGTTTGGTAAAGCCATCTTATCTGCTGCCTATCTATTTTTTCCTCTATGCCAGTAGCACCAGATCAGCGTATTACAATCATAGTTCCACAAAATTTAAAAATGCGTTTATCTTCAAAACTCATAAATTCTACCGCAACTAAAATTGTGCTTAAAATGCTTCCTTGCCATTTTAATTGACACGCTATCAAGCATCATGTAAATTGTGTACTAACAATGTCAATATGGAGTGTTTTCGCTAACTTTCGGGTAGCATATTAATGTGCATGTATTATGATTATTAAATCTTCAGCTGGTAGTCCGGCAGCCTGCTTTGTTGAGAGAAGTTAATTTTTTCTCCTTCAAAATAGACTATCATTACGCAAGAACATCTTATTTTAGGGTTCTATCCTTCATATTTGCAGATTCAATACATGTATTGGATGTTACGCAATTTAAGATTCTTCCTCTTCGCTTCTGCGATGGCGTTTGTCACAGCTAATGATCAATGCAGGACAGAGGAAAAGATACAATGCAAGACAGAAGTAAACATACAAGGAATGGCTCTCAAACGCTCTGTCTTCAAACGATGGTCAGTGGCAGCTGCTCACTTCTGCGATGTCAAATGCGGACAAGAGATCACATGCCAAAGCTATAGCTACAATAAAAAATGCCAAATATGCGAACTAAATAACCGCACCAAGGAGGCGAGACCAGAGAATTTCCTTTTTAGCGCCCAAGTGGTTCTACATTCGACTATTGAACGGCAGAGGTAAGAAATCACAAGTTTTTTGTTTCTTTAGATTTTCTCTATCCTGAGCTAACCGCGTTCCTTCCCATTTACAAGAATTGATAATGAGAAAAAAAAATTGAGAACGTATTTTACTGCAGCCCCCTTGGGTTCTTTACCTGAATTACCGGCGCTATCCTGTCACGAAATAAAGGCGAGTGAAGGAAATGACAGTACAAGCGGCAACTTTTGGCTGAATCCGACTGGCACTGGGAAGGCAGTTTTGATTGACTGTGATATGATTACCTGGGGTAGGTCTTATCAGTTCTCTTCGAGTTAAGTTACCAAGTTATGTTTGCGAATGCTTTGGATATACTCAACAAACGCTTGCCAGTTCCACTTATTCACTATTTACTTGTGTTCCATATAAAGCAAAAGGTCAACTGAAAATAAATCACAAAACGCTTACTGATTCGATTTACTAAGAAAACATAACTGGATACTGAAAAGCGAAACGGTGTAAAATGATTTTATATACCGACATTCGTGGCTCTAGTTCTCAGGAGAATATCCAAACACGTGCGTTCACTAACTCAACTAATTGTTTACTAATCAAGTTTCTCATACTGTACTACGATAAAAATTATAACGTCAGCGTAACAATATATATATATTTTTTTATATATATATTGTTAGCATTGTCGTTTGTTTAGTCAGTATCAGTTCTTGTCTGGATTACTTTCTTATATTTTCTCTTCTTTTGCAATTTCTAGATATGGATGAATGTAAATCTGACATCAGTGACTGCGATGTGAATGCAAACTGCACTAACATGTACGGTTCTTACAAATGCAAATGTAAGGCTGGATACACTGGTGATGGACACTCTTGTTCAGGTACTTATACCTTCATCTTCAAAGATGACCTGATTTATTTTGCTTCCAGTGGCTGTTTTAGCTATTTTTTCTGTTAATCGTCTCAAAATAATGATTACAGAAATGAAGTAGTAATGATATTACTGATGTATCGACGAATGCAGCGATTCATTTAGATTAGTTACTTCTAGCAATTACATCGGGGGAAGTAAATCTGCCAAACAGACTCATGTAAAAATATATAAAGGTGTAAGTTTCTAAAGAAACTGTGGTGCTGCGTCGGTGGGAGAATATAGCAGATAATTTAGTGTTAACAACTGGGTTGAAAACGTAAATTAGCCACCGTAAAGAGTAAAAAAGCTGACGTTTCGAGTGTTAACTCTTCGCCAAATCGCTCTGACGAAGGGCTAACGCTCGAAACGTCAGCTTTTTTACTCTTTACGGTGGCTAATTTACGTTTTCAACCCAGTTGTTAACACTAAATTACCTCATGTAAAAATATGCTGTGCCGATCGATATTTCTCAGTGCAACGATAATCTGCAGGTTTATGACATGTATGTGACGTAAACTAAACATTTTTTCTTTGAAATCATTTCTATCACATTATCATCTCACAACATCACCGTTATCATCTTCATCGCCACATTTAACATTACTATGATTACCATCAATCATCACCATCATCATGGTCATCAGCTTTAACGTTGTAACTCTTCATTGCACTGCTTATTCTTTCAAGATATCAATGAATGTAACAACGGAAGCCATTCGTGTGATGTGAATGCAAACTGTGAAAACACGAATGGCTCTCACAACTGCATCTGTAAGGAAGGATACATTGGGGATGGACAATCGTGCCAAGGTATATAGAAATAGGTTTAGCGACAACGCAGGAATAGTCAGCTATGGTCTTTGCACCTGAATCCCCACATCGCTCATTCAATCGTGAATTGTGTGGGAACTCTCCTCTGTAATAATTGTTATGAAAAACACATACAACAGTTCTTTTTTCTCACTAATTCTCATAATTGTACCGGTAAGGAAGGATAAACGAGAAACAGACAATCATGTTAAGGTACAAAAGATGAGCCTTTCAAACAGCTAATTTTCGGATGTCAATTCTGCGTTTGTTAGCCACATCCTATTGTCCCTACAAGCGTCAGACAATACAATTCTTAATATTTTTGCATGTCATGCGCCCGTTTGTATGCATGGAGGCAAAACGATAAAATGTAAACTTTATTTATGGTTTTCCAGATATGAACGAATGTAAAAGAAACCAACCTTGCGACGTGAATGCGATCTGCACAAACACCGAGGGATCGTATGTTTGTACTTGTCACCCTGGATATACTGGAAATGGACTCAGCTGTACAGGTATGTGATGTTTTCCTTTTGTTCCTTTAAACGTAAACGAGACCGTCGTCTTTCCTTGGCATGTCCTATATCGGCAACAAACAATAACCCTTAATATGATCGCGATAATGACACATTTTTTTATTTGACATTTCAAATAATAACCTCTCTCTTAGACATTGACGAATGCAGTGAAGCTCATGCCGTTAAGTTGAACAAATGTCATCCGAATGCCTCTTGCATTAATACTAAGGGCTCATACAACTGTCAGTGCAATCCTACTTACACTGGAAATGGTTTCAAATGTAAAGGTACGTTCGGTTTCTTTGAGGTAATGTAAGTTTTATTTTGTAGCTCAGCTTTAATTTAAAATAAATTGTTTACAGCTGACTTTCTTCCGAAACATGAAAAGCGGGCGAAATTCTCCTTCATAGTAACGCAAACTCAAAAATAAACGATCTCTTAATTATGTTTTAAAATAATTTTTGAAAAACTCTTACAAGACGTTTCCCATAATGCAGACATGATTCTTTCCCTACAGTTCCTAAAGCTTGAGTAAATCCCTTATTTGAGAGAAATTATAACAATAACAACATGTAGTTATTTGACGCGCTGTCATTACAAAAACTTAATTTGTTGATTGTAGCAGACAGAGGCATCACACGTAGAGGAACAGTTATTGACAACAAATCCCTTTTAGGGTGGTATGGGTGTCCGGGAGCTGGGGCTATAAAATTTCTCAAACGCGCATGGTAACATCAAGTTCAGCAAGTGCAAAAAGTCTCACACGTAGATAGGCTATTGAGGCAAGAAGAAACATAATTCTTTATGATGGTATCATTTTATGTTAATTCCTTTGTTCGTCATGATTGTTCTCCGGACTACTTCTTATTCCCATTCCCATTCCACTTAATGCATAGTTTTTTTTTTTTTTCGCAAAATGCAAATATCGTCTGCTGTTTGTTGAGCTGATTCTCTAAAAGATGTTAAGGAAAAAAATATTTGCCTTTGATTGTTCAACATTTTTTTAAAATTTATATTGAACTTTTTCAGCCAACCCATGCTATCATTATCAAAGCTTGAGTGATGCCAGTAGAAAGAGCAGTTACATAACACCCCAGTACCAAGAGGTGTGTGACGACCAACTCCCTGAGGAATGGTATCGCTTTGTGGGAGCTGCAGGAACTAAAATGCCAACAACACATGTGCTAGCATTCAGATGTGGTACAAACTGGCCAGGCTGGTTGGATGGTGTTGCATCCTACAGTGGAAGATGGTAAAGTGAACAGGAAGGTCTGCTTTAGTGATATTAATTCTGATTGTAAAGCAATAAAGAATATTTCTGTGATAAACTGTGGATCTTACTTTATCTACAAACTTTTCAGGCCACCAGATTGTTTTATGCGTTACTGTGCTACAGATTGAATGTAAAGCAAATAGACTTCGCGTAATAAGAAGATACATAAATAGATCTTTATATCTTTGTATAAGGTATTTAACATGTGACGTAGTTAAATTAGGGCCTTTCCGCATTAGCGACAAATTTTACAAATGCGTGTAGTTAGTCGTGATTTGACAAATTTTGGCCGAAGCGGACAAATCTTAGTTAAAATTCGACAAAATCGACTTAATAAACAAAAACGTGATAAACTTGTCAATCATTGGTCGTATGAGCTACGAAAAGCGCGTAATTGAACTGAAATCAATCTACTAGAAAGGCAAAAATTGTCTTTTGCTGAAAAACGGGGATTCTAAAATTCTAAAACGACTGAGGATAAATCCCTGAAATTGGAGGTGGAATCCTTTACCAACTATGCTTGTCGGTCTCGTGAACAGATCAGGTGCTGACGGAATTTGACGGCATTGAAAACTTTCATGCGGATGCAACTGACGGAAAAAATTGTCACGACAAAATTTGTCCCTTGATTTTGTAGGGACAATTCTAGTTTCGTCCGCTAGTGGGGAAAGGCCCAAAGTATAACGAATAAATGGGTATGACGGTCAAAATCTGATAGCCTTGGCAAATGATTCCTAAGTTTGACGTTGTAATCGTGCCTAAGTATTTAGAAGAGTTTTAACTTACCTCCAGACTCACAGTAAGAATGATTTACCGGCTTAAACCTCTCGAAACCGTGTGTCAAAATGGATCCTTTAAATTCTGATATTTTACTATTCGATGACTGGCTAGAGTTCGATTCATTTGATGTTCATTTGTCTCGCGTTTACAAGGAAAGACCCGAAAACACAGAAAATGGGTCAACACATTGGCGAGTTTTTTAAAAACGTATCAAAATATCGAAAAATCGTTGGTGGTCTCGACAAAGAAAAGTGATATGAGCTGGATCACTTTGTGGCTCAGCTTCTTGAGTGGTGTAAATAGACGGGCATCGTCTTATTATTTAACAAAAATGGTGTAAATTCCCAATAAACACATTTATTTATCCTTACATGTACATGGACCAGTCTCAGTTGAGTGTCTTAACGGGAACACGAAAGTAAATGTTACGGCCTGTCGACTAAACATAACAAAATAAAAATAACAATAACAAAAATAACGAATAAAAAGATCTTAAGCGAAGAACAGCTATAGGAAACTACAGGGTGGATCGGCATTTTTGACACTCAACTGAAAGCTGAACTACAAGTAAATTTAATCTTTATTTCCGATGTCACAATTTAAATAATACTGTAACCTTTTTTGATTAATTCGCAAGTATTCACAAGTTATCTCATAGTTAGTTGTCAATTAAACACACATAAGGGCATATGCTTTGATCTCTGCCTTTGTTAGTGCTTCGGGGTTTGTAATAACATGCTAAGAAACAAGGGGGGGGGGGAAGGATTGAGGAGGGGGAGTGGGAAGGGGGAGGTCTTTTAGTATCTGTCATGTCTAATTTTAAAACGGGGTATACAGCTGTGGAGGCGAACCTTCGGAGAAACCGCAGATTTGTTTTCACTGAATTAACATAAATAATTTGCAAACCACCTGCAATGATAAGGAACTAATGCGCTTTTCAAAAACATTTCTTATGGCATAAGAAAAAGCTTCAAAATTTGCCTCTTCATTAACTTACGTCAACTTCTCTTTATTATTCTCGCTATTAGTTTATGTCAGGCAGAGAAGTATGAAGATATACATTCTTACATTTTACTCAGTCTTAGAAACCAAACAAGAGGAAAACTACTGTCAAGCGAAGCTCGTTCGTGCATAAGCAGTAAACGTTTGTGTAAGAGGTTAGAAAATTGAAAAATTAAACCACTAGCACACGGATATAAAAACCATTAAAACTTGGGTGCATTCAGTAACTAGAGATTTGAATCACAATGGGAATTCTTCCTCTGTATATTTATTCAACTCAAAAATAATTTTTTTTCACAATTGTTGTGCCAAATTTCAGTAGTAAGTCAGACTTTGTGAAGGTTTAACTATATTACGAGCAATTTGAAAATTCTAAACTTCGTCGCGGATGAAAGAGTGACCCAGAAAAATGAATAACGGGCTTCTATTATTACCAACGTTTTGTGTTCAAATAAAAGTCATCAATACCTTTTAGTGCCTGTCATGCCTGTCAACTTAAAACGAAGTGGGCAAGGATTTATATACATTGTTTATTTGGTCAATAATGCGTAAAAATCATACTGAAAACACTTACTGACGTAAAGCCATAAAATTTATCAATTTACGTTTGTTTACTTTGAAAAATGGATACCATGAAAATCATTAATAATAGCTAATGTCTTCTTCGATGACTGAGGAAGTTTCGAGTCAAAAACTATAAAACGTTCCTCAAGGTTAAAATATAATTGTCCGTAGCCAAATATGATCTTAGTCCTATCGTTGATAATACATCCTTGGTTTAACACTGGATCGTGGAGAGACTTAAGGAATATATTATTAAAAAATGGCTAATTTAGACCATTTAGTCGAAATTTACATCATTTTCCAGCGGTATTGCGAAGGGAAGAATAATGTTGCATAACACCTGGTACGTATTTTGTTGAATATTTTTCTTAATATTATCCTCTCAGCTCACCTCCCACAACAAGGAGCCCAAACAGGAACAAGGAAGTTCTCTTTACGTGTTAACTATTATTATGGCTTGAGCCAATTTCTATTCCTTAAATTAAGAATCTACATTTCCCTGCATCTCCTCAACGTATTTCTGCTTCCTATAACTACATAGGGTTTTCTTCACTCTGGAAAGAGGGTTCAAGAAATTTTTTACGGTAATTTTCTTTTAAACAGCCCACATAACCAGTTTTAATATTTACTTTTCTTACTGCTTTGTTTATTCTCTGTAAACCTCTGCATGATTATTTATTTATGAGATACTTAATATTATGGCACCAGTAAGATGTATATTTCTCCCTTTACCTCAAAAACAGGCAAAATTTTTTAATTTGTTGCAATCGCACAAGAAATTCCTTTAAATGATAAATACGTTTTTGAACGATTGAGGGGTGATTATTTGTCTGAGGGCGAGCGTTATGTTTTGATCCATTTTACCCTTTTGGTCGCTGAACTGAACTTCCAAATATGTATAGAACAACAGCATTAAAATTGGAGTCAGCCAATTTGGCAAAGCCATCTTCGCTTTTATCTTTCTTTACAGCTATTAAAAACTAAGATAATCTAACGCGACGTAGAGGTGTAATATTTTTCTTTAAAGCATTATAAACTGTATACTCACACTGCTGATGATGTTGTGTTTTCGCAAATTTCAGGCAACAGATTAAGGTGAAAATACTGTGATAAGAGGATAAAATAGAGCATCACTGACACAGTAGACGTTAGGCGCAAGAGAACTTTGGCATCTTAAGGGTAAGAGACGAACATTGTTGATGCACTGCCAGGAACATTTCTATTCCTTAAGAATCTCCGTTTACCCGCATCTCCTAAATATATTTCTGAATCCTCGGACTTTATAAGATAAGTTTTTCTCGACTCTCGAATTAGTGTTTACTGAATTGTTGACGGCAAAGTTGCTTAAATGGACCACATAATCAGTTTTAATACTTAGTTTTCTTACTATTTCTTTTTATACTATCTAAACCTCTGCATAATTATTTCTTTACGTGTTAACCATACCGCCACCGTGGCTAAAATTTTGAGCCGGTCAAAATGTTGAATTTGTTGCAATCGGACAAGAAATTCTTTTAAATGGTAAATGGGTTTCTGAAAACTTGAAGGGTGATTATTTGTTAAAAGGTTAATCTTATGTTTGGATCGATTTCTCCTTTTTGTTACCGAACTAATTAGTAAAACAAAGCCTGGAAAAAACACTTCTAAATGTGAGTACAACATCAGTATCTAAATAGTAGTAAAATCAGTCTCTAAATTGCAAAACTACTGCTGCATTTTAAAACAAACCAAACCATATTATATCATATTGTGGTGATAAAGGGTTGGAAGACACACCAGAAATTCTTAGGTGGTATGATTTGCGAGCAACCTACATCATAAATTTAAGGAACGAGAGGATAAAAGAACTTGAACACGTTAGATGACAAAAAGAACCTGTCACATTTGCAGCGTCATTAACTTAAATGAACTTCACAGTCGCCGAATTGTTCGTGCATATCTGAGTGGTAAGTAATTAAAAATGTTCTGTTATTTAAACATTTTGTTGCATTTCCGTAGACTTTTTCTGCAATTTACTTGGCCTGATCCTGAACTTAAATTCGAATTGTAGCTTCATCTCTGCACTCAAGTTTGTATGTCGTTCTCGAATAATGGAATCTTGTTTACTATGAAATCATCAATATTAACTCGAAGTCCCCAGTCTAAAATTATACAACAGTGCACAAATGGAATAGACAATTTGTTAATTAATTTTGATTAAATTTTCCTTAACTTATGTACGAGTGTCTTTAGTTAGGCAATGGACAATGGAAAAACGAGAGGGATACGTTATCAAAACTCAAAACTTTTCGTACTCCTAAAAGCTGATTTTAAATTAGCTTTCGTAATTTTGAAGTCAAAATTTACCAATTTAGCCTAAAAGCTAATAATTTATACCGATAAAATTTGATTTTCAAATTAATGATATAAGTATCTTCGCCATTGGTTGGCGAACATCGCAAACAGATTAACTTTAACTTCGGGCCTGAATTTTGTTGAATTCATTGCTTGCGAGGAGCCAGAATAGAAATGATGATGTTCTTTTTTCATGTTAATCATTATACATTGGCTTAAAGTAAATAATCGGTATCGTATCATAGTTATAATACGTTCATGAAAGAAAGCATTTTTAACTCGGTAACAATCAGGTGATTGAGGACCACATTTCTTATATTTATCAGCTCCAGATTTGCGTAGAGTAAGTTTAATTTGCTTAAATCTCAAAATAGGTTTTGGAAAATTTTTAACTAACTACGGCTGCTTTGCAACAGACCAGACCATCAATTTTAGGATTTAGTTTTCAAATATCACCCATGATTGCTATCCATAGAAGACCTGTGTATTTGTTTTAACACGATGATGGTCGAATTCTACTTCGTTTCTACTTTCTCTCCGCGGTTTTGGGGTTTTTCGGTCCCCTGAAAGGGATCAAATGAAAAAAATGTGCCAAATGTCGTGCGGGTACTTGCTTTATTCTGTGCAGAAGGCTGGAGTAGTCTTTCAGGCTATAAGAAATAAAAAATTGAGAGCGTTCATGTAAGTTTGGACAAGGACGTAATCACGAGGGTAACTCTGGATAAGTGATTGGAGACAACTCTTCACTCCATTGTTGATAACTGAGTTGAGATAAAGGTGATTTGAAATAAATAGTAAGAGAAAAACTTTTAAATTGCTTGACCGATTGCACTTCGTTTCTGCTTTGAGAAGTGGAATCTTCAGGACTTAATTATCTTCAAGCCGCACAGGTGTTCTCAGTCGGTTGTAATTTGCGTCCACGAGGCGCCTTTCCTACAATAGAAACCTCATAAGGAGGTTCGGGCAATTTCCGTTCTCTAAGCTGATAAAAATTAATGTCCTTAATGCATCAACATGTTAAATTCATAATATTTGGTCACGACACCATAGTTAAAACAATTTTATCAAGGACTTATCTCGGACTCAAATTTCAATGCACAAAGGCTATGCATTAAGAAACTAAGCTTCTTAGCAACGATTTGACGCAAAGTGCCGATCTAATTTCTGGAGGGCTTTTCTTAATTATTTCTACACATCATTCTGAAATGTTTGAGGACACTCATTATTGAGCAGAGGCGAATAATATATCTTTTAGGCTTAAAAGATTCTGAGGGCTAATAATCAAGTCTCCTTGACGTTGGTGAGTGCGGGGGCTCTAAGGGATAACTGCTGTTTACCATCCGTTATTCCTTTTCAAGGTAAGCGACATTCTCTGTTATCATTAATATGAGAAAAAATGTTGTTCTCTATGACAATACAAAGATAATGGAATGTACTTTCTCCGTGTATTGATGCATTAAATATAAAATTCAAAGCGTTTACGCCTAAACATACGGTGCAAAATATTGTATTGAGGAATTTAAACGAGCCAACTCTCATCTTTTACCAAAGCACCCTAAATTTTTCATCTCAGGAAAATGACAAATATTGATAAAACAATCATTTCAAAGGCTTCTCAGTCCTCTTTGAGGGCGCAACTCTAAACTGATAAAGGAATGAGACGACATCCAACTGGGAAAGAAAAAGTCTGTTATGTTTATGAATAAGATTCCAACCTTATTATATTTACTTTCTCGAATTGAACTGAATAAAAAAAAATGAAACTAAAACACCGCGTGCTCGAGTCTGGGACATTTCAATTAGCTTGAATTGTGTGGTAATAAAGTATGCAAAGAACCAATACTGCAGGATTCGTTACCGTGGCATCTGAGAAAAAAATGAACTAGTTTATTGAACAAGCGGCACTGAAAGACGAAAAGAGAATTTCAATTGATAGTCTCTTGGAAGTATTATATACTATAGGGCGTAGTTTTACTGTTTGGATCTATTTTCCACTTTTGAATACTGAACTGTTTTGTTAATAAGTAAAGAAAACGCACAGACGCACATTCTTAGACTTATTTCTTTCCCGAAAAATGAAGATTATTAACAGCAATTATGGATTGTTTTTGGTGAATTTTCAAGCAACAAATTTTAATCAAAATTTGCATATACTATGATTGTTATGTCTTGAATTTTTTTGAAAGACACCTCTTTTTTTTCCTTTAAAGGTAGACTGTCGTTAGGCAGGAATATAACATCTTTTGGGGAATGATCCTCGATATTTTCAAATTCAATAAAAGCGAAGAGGTATGTATTGGCTGTTCCGAAATTTGAGATTCCTTTTCCTCGCTTCTACCATGGAGTTTGTCACAGCTAATGATCAATGCAGGACAGAAGTAAACATACAAGGAATGGCTCTCAAACGCTCTGTCTTTAGAAGATGGTCAGTGGCGGCTCCTCACCTTTGTGATGTCAAATGTGGACAAGAGATCGCGTGCCAAAGTTATAACTACAATCGAAAATACCAAATATGTGAACTAAATAACCGCACCAAGGAGGCGAGACCAGAGAATCTCCTTTCAGCCCCCTCGTGGTTTTACATCAGGCGATTGAACGGCAGAGGTAAGAAGTCAGAAGTCTATGTGTCTCGCTGATTTTTGTTTCTCTAGATTTTCTTCATACTTTGCCAATCTTTTTCTCTCTCACCTATAATTGAGAAATAAGAGTAGGAATAAAACATAACTCCTATTTTTACTGCAGCTCCTTTAGGTTCTATCCCCGAATTACCAGCGATATCCTGTCTCGAAATAAAGGCGAGTGAAGGTAAAAAAACCATTAGCGGGAAGTACTGGCTGGATCCAACAGGCACAGGGAAGGCGATATTGATTAACTGTGATATGGCTAGCGGGGGTAGGTCTTTTTCTTTTACGAGTTAACTTAATTTTACCGCAAAATTATAGTAATGTTATTTTTATTGTTATCACTATGATTTGTTTGTTTAATATCAGTTTTAGCGTGGATACCCTTTTTACTTCGTTTTACTTTAATCATTGCTTTCATTCTAAATTCTAGATATGGATGAATGTAAATATAACATCAGTGACTGCCATGTGAATGCAAACTGCACTAATACGTACAGTTCTTACAAATGCACATGTAAAGCTGGATACACTGGCGATGGACACTCATGTTCAGGTACAGTTAATTTTCCTCACCCAAGATGACCATGAATGTGTTTCTCCATTAACTGTTTTAGCTCACCTCTATGCGAGGTTTCCTCATGATACTGAGTTCAGCTACAGATTAAAGCAGAATTTATAGTTTTGACGTAGTTAATAAATGCAGGAATAAGCACAAGCACTTGCATCGGAGGCAAAGGAAACATGTTTAACACTGTGTTAATACGAAATACGAAATAAACCAAAGAAAGTTATCGTTAACATCATTGCCAAAAAATTGCCATCATCATCCACCATCATCCTCGTCACCATCACTTTGACCATCATCATTACGAACACTTTTGTTTACATATATCGATGAACGCAGCGAGAAAATCCATGTTCGTGATGTGAATGCAAAGTGCACTAATACTAATGGCTCTCATAACTGCACTCGTTACTCCTCTCCGACAAAGAAAATAGGCCCGCATTTGCACGCCACGTTAGATTAGCTCTAGCATCAGACAGAATCATTTGGCACAGCCATGCTTATTCCCGTGGATAGCGTCACCATCTCCAGTTTCTATTTTGTAAATCAGAAACCTTTATTTAATTTTTTATAATATATTTCGGGCAGTTACACTACTAAGAAGCTAAGAGTCTTTGAGTGCATTTTAACGGCAAAATAGCTTCTCACGAAGTTTCGACCAGACTTCGGTCATTTTCAATTGAATAATAAGAATGTCATTATGTCACCCAGGATATACTGGAAATGGACGAAACTGCACAGGTGAATTTAATTTCCTCGCTACATGTATTCTGTGCTTAGAGCAGTCCCGCATGACACGTTGGACTACAGCACCGCACCATTCAGCCGCGTTACAGGACAATTAGATCATTTATCACCCATAGCTCGTTTTAATTTAAGGTTACTTCCCACCCTCAGAGGCCGAAAAACTCGATTTTTCTTTTATTTAGAAAAACATATTTTCTAATAGAAGTTAATGAATAAGGAAGTTATCATAATCTCGGACCTGAGAGAATCCTCTGGGGGAACTTTCGCGGCAACTGCTCATGTCGAGGCCCGATTTCCTGTTCTTGCCATATTTTACTTACATCGAACACTTTACAAAATTCACTCGTGAAAGCTGCAATCTGTCAAAAAAGAGAGAGTACCAATCTGTCAAGAAAAGAAAGAGAACTTCCCTTGTGAAAGCGACTGGTACTGGCGGAGCTCCATGCTGGCGTCCAGATTTTGAACAAAGAAGTCGTTGTCAAACCAAAATTTACCATACATAATGTTAAAAACGAAGTCTCCTTTTCTTTCTGCAAGTACCAGCCTTGATACAAAAACATTAACACTTGCCTCGAATCGCAATTTTGAAAGCTGTATGTCGATTCGTTGTTTTGCTCCTCAGCACACTTTGGGAACTTTGCTCATCATTGTGTCGTCCCCCACTTAGTGATCGAGATAAAAAAAATTAAAAAATAAAAAAAAAACCTGTCTGCAATGGGTTTCTTTTCCCGGGAAATCTTGATCCATAGTCAGTGACACTAGGATGAGGCGAGATAATCTCCTGGCGTGGGGCAAGTTGTTTGCGAACCCTTATGAGCTAAATTCTCGCATTTGAGTTTGGGAGGAATACAACCACGTGCAATTCGAGCGAATTTATAAGGTATGTAGATTTGACCGATTTTTGTCAAATTTCGCCAAAACATCCTAGGAATATTGACAAACGAAAGTGTGTCGGGAAATTTGATATTTGAAATATTTGTCCCCCTTTACGCAACACGACTCGTATATTTTTAGCTACTCCAACTCGAGATGCCGATATTCAGACAATCAATCAGAATATCGAAGAAACCTGACATACTTATGTTGATTGATGCCTTCTGAATGAGACTGTGCAGCCAATTAGCTCGTGCTGCGGCATCCCATACCCGATAAATTCAAAAGAAGAACCTTCAGTCGTTTCACGCCTTACCGGCTGCTGACACTTCCTTAAAAGGAAAGTCGCTTAAATTCTGTTTTCATCGTAAATTAAATTTTTTATGCTTTCTCCTGATATATAGTTTGCTAGGTTTTTAGTGAAACTAGCCCGCGAACGAATTTTTTCCTGAAGGACACCCGGGCCCGCGAAGGTGGGAAGTAACCTTAATGCTAAGAACCTCTTAGGTAATGTTCCTGACTTTTAAATGAACAATTTTGGTGACTGATGCATTTTTATTCTGTTTTAAATTTCACTTTATAACAATGATTAAAAGAAGCATGAATATAAAATCGCTCGTTTGGCTCCGAACCCTGTGCAGAGGATGGATGTGTCAATGATTTTCCATGGCACTACGTTTTCGTTGACGCTCAAGATATATTTGAGTGAAGAAGTTGAAAATTATTATCATCAAGTCTATATAATCAAGATACTACGAGTGCTCTGATTGGTCAAAAGCAATCGTTGATTGCACTTGTAAATCCATGGAAAATTGAAGTTTATGTTATTACATAATTGTTGGGAAACAATTCTAAAAGAAAAAGTGTTATCTTTGATATTTCAATCTTTTTGCAATTGTCATTTCACTTTGAAGCCGATCCTTGCTATCATTATCACATACTGAGTGACGCCAATAGAAAGAGCAGTTACACTACATCGCACCCTGACCCTGCGTTTTGTGACAGCTCATTTCTCGAGGGGTGGTATCGTTTTGTGGGAGCTGCAGGAACAAAAATGCCAACAACGCGTGTGCCAGCGTACAGATGTGGTACAGACTGGTCAGGCTGGTTGAATGGTACTCATCCTACAGTGGAAGATGGTAAAGTTCGAAGGACGGTCTGCTTTAGTGATCGATCTACTGGTTGCACATACACAACATATATTTCTGTAAAAAACTGTGGATCCTATTTCATCTACAAACTTTTCCAACTTAATTGTAACTCACGCTACTGTGGTACAGACTAAAAATGAAGCAAATATACTTCGCGTAGTAAGAGGATTCATATATCGAACCGTAGATACATGTGTATAAGGTTTTTAACATGTAGCGTAGTTAACCTGTCATCTCTACAGTAAACATCCTAAGCAGACTTTATCTTTGGTGGCAAACGGGTATTTATTTCATTAGAATGATAATTCTCATCAGATAGCCTTTGTCATCGAAGAGAGTTTCCCGAAGGATCTTCAAAGTTATCTTCATATAAAATCTGCAAGACACAAACTCGTAAGCGTACGGTTTTCGAGCCTTTTATTTATATATTAATTTGTTTTTTCGTTTTTTTCTTTCTTTTTCTTTTCTTTTTTTTCATCCTGTTTTTGCTGTAATTATTAACTAGGGTTATTTTAGCGTGAGTCAATGGAATATAAGCAGGCACTATCTTACGTTACAGGCGTGGGAATAAAAACCCACCCCTCAACCTCAGCCCAAAGATATGAGCTGGGTCACTATGTGGCTCAGCTTCTTGAGTGGTGTAAATAGAAGGGCATCGTGTATGTTATCTCATTATTTAACAAATACTGTGTATCTCTTTGAAGATACATTTATTTTACACGGATTATTTTCAGCTGACTTTCATAACACAAACACGAGAGTAAATGTTAAGGGCAGTGTAGTCCATGGGCCAGAATAGGTTCTCGTTAACACTCATCTGAGTTAAGATTATGTGAAAGACTTGAAGCAAATTCGCTTGATAGCAACCGCGAAAGAGTAGCTTTCACCATTTTTTTGGTGAACTTGATATCAATAACTAGAGGAAAAAAACAACAACAACAAGGAAATTTCGGGCAAATTCATGAGACCAGAAGCCAGTGAAGTAAAAACAGATAAAAACAGGTTTTAACTTTAAATCACAACGATTCAGTAACAAATAGAGGAGGTTATTTCAAAAGATCGTAACGTAAGGAACAGAGAAACCAGAATAAGGGAAATTTTTTACGATTAACTAAATTAACTTAATCTTTTTTAATTAACTTAAAATTGAACATCTTTCTTGAAGTGATTGCAAGTAATTTTCACAAGTAAATAGTAATTAAAAAAAAAACCTTGCAAAAAGGCATCTCTTGCAGTTTTTGCCTTTTTAATGCTAAGGGATGTACATTAATTCGCTAATCATGGCCGGATTCCATTGTTTATCTTGTCGATGTCATCTGTTTGGCAAAAGTAAGTAAATAACGTTTTCGTACACCACGAATGTGAGTGCACATGATGGCGTTACTCTAATTAACAACAACAACAACGATCGAACAAACAATATACAGTAAAAAACAGCAATAAACGTGTTTCCACCGCACACCGCACACCGCACACCGAACACCTTTTCTTTAATACGTTACGGTTATCGTTATCATAGAGATGAATTGCCAATCGTTTGGCATTCTATGACCAGAGATTGTCTTTTAAGCTTTACTTTGAGCCTTACCGGTAAAATGCGAGTGACATTATTCTAGGCTAAGAAGTCATTACCTTTTATCAAAATTAACATACCTGACATCTCCACTAATGTTAAGGATTAAAAAAAAGTGACTCTTGCACTTAGGTAACCTGGCCCAAACCACCAAGTGAATTGCATCAAGTGAATAAACATCTGTAACATCTCGAACTGTGAGCAAGACCTTGAGAGGGACGCTAAATGAGTACGCTTCAAACTTCGAGTCACTAAACTGAGACAAACACCACGTCCCAGAAGCTTTTTTTCGAAATAATTTCACAATTCTACTATTACATTTTTTTTCAAATTTCTGTAGTTCTTAGCAGTAAAAGCAAAATAAAGATATAAAGATTGTCAAGAAAAGCTCGTTTGAATTTTAGCATTTAGACCACATGTGCATGGTCTAAAATTCAAATTCAAATAAAAGATCAGTGACTGATCTAGGGGAGGGGCCAGGCCCCCTCTTATTTTGGGTAAAAAAAAAAAAAACTAGGACTAGAAGCTATTAGGATCTCACAATTCTACTTAACGCAGTCATTTCAAATAAAATTTTGTTCAAAGTTTCCCTTCTATTGTTTGGTCCCATGTCACACTAAGACGATGTTAAATTAATTCATCATTCTAATTAGTTGGAAAGAAATTCAACGTGATATAACTTAAAATATGTCTCAACATAATCTCAAATATAACTCATTATAATCGGTTACTCGCCAAACATAAAATTATCCATTAATCAGCACACCAGAACGAACTTGGAAAGGCTATTGGGCATCAAGTGAATTAACATCTGTAACATCTCGAATTTTGAGCAGGACCCTAAGAGTGACGCTAAATGAGTATGCCTCAAACTTCGAGTCACTAGACTAAGACGAACACCACGTCCCAGACGCTTTTTTCGAAATAATTTCACAATTCTATTATTACATTTTTTCGAATTTCTGTAGTTCTTAGCAGTAAAAACAACACAAAGATGTAAAGATTGCACAGAAAAGCTCCTTTTTTAGCATTTAGACCACCTGTGCATGGTCTAAAATTCAAATTCAAATAAAAGATCAGTAGCAGATTTAGGGGAAGGGTCCGGGGGGCCCAGGCCCCCCTTTTGTTTTGGGTAAAAAAAGAAGAAGAATCGCAGAAGGATGAAAAGCCGGTGGGGCAAGCAACAAAAAACCACGCCTCCCCTTTAGCTAAAGGTCTGGATACGCCACTGAAGATTCTTTAGGACCAGAAGTTATTATAATCTCACAATTCTAACTAAATTTAGTCAATTGAAATATAATTTTGTTCAAAATTTCCCTTCTATTGTTCGGTCCCATCTCACACTAAGACGATGTTAAAAAGATTGAACTGCCTCGGGTAAAAAAGAACAAGCAAATTAGAAAAACATGAAAGCGAGTCTTCATTAGTAGACAAGTTTTGTATTCAACTGATGGTCATTAATAACTTTAAGACCTGTCATGTCTCTCATTTTTAAACAAACAATATAATACCATACCATATTGTGGTGACGAAGGGGTTGGAATAAACGCGAGAAATTCTCAAGTGGTATAATTTGGGCGCAACCTACATCATAAATTTAAGTAATGTAAGGATAAAAAGAACTTGAACACGTTAGATGACAAAAAAAAAATTGTCACATTTGCAGCGTCATTAACCTAAATGTACTCTACTCTATGAACAGTTTTGCTCATTAAGGCAGAAGTAAACGTTAACATATATCTGCTCAACGGACAGAGAGAAATAAGAAACGAAACAAAATGCAAGTATGTCCAGCACTATGCAAATATTTACTACATTATAAAATAAAAATTAGATCCAAGTCATATTGTTACATGGTAAACAGCTTGCACTTGTAAAAATTTGAAGAAGTGCTAAAGTATGTAAATAGTAACTAATCGCATATAGAATCGTAAATAGTAACGAATAGCATGTAAATAGTAACTGAAAACTCCTATGTCGACATAGATACTCTAATTAATAAGATGAAAGATTAATTACTGACTGTAATTATGTTTAGTCTGTAGTTTTCCTATTTACATATTATCCTAATACCTAGATGTTTGTAAGCATGAAGATTAATGTCTACATGTTGTAATTGTATGTGAATATTTATTGTATAATATTGTGTAAAATTATTTGTCTGCAGTCTGGCTTGCCACGATTAGCTCTTCACTATTTGCAAGCCAGCCTAGTAAAAACCATCTGATGTGAACAAATAAAACTTGAAACTTGAACTTGAAACGAATCATAATCAAGAATGCCTACACCTACATATAATGCTTTTGATTTGTTAATTGGTCTGTCTCTGATCACCTTGGAATTAATAAATATTATAAATATCTTGAAATACAAGTCAAATATTGGCACATTGTAAACAGCTTATTAAGAATGCCTGAAACACCTGATGTTCTTGATTTGTCAACAGGTCATCACCAAGGAATCAATAAATATTATAAATATCTTCAAATACTATTCAAATATTGTTACATGGTAAGAATTAAGTTACACAATTTGAAACAGTAAGCCTACGTAAAAATACCTAAAACATTAAATGCTTTCAATTTGTTAACTGATCTTCAAAAATTTTGTACTAGATAAGATAAGTCATAGCATGGCTGATGTAATTCTCCCATTTTGCGATTCATGAGTCAGTTCAATGTAAATTTGAAAAATTAAGGACAGTAGAACAGCTTCACTTAGCTTTTTTAGATGAAGCTGTCACACATAACAAGAAATGACAGCATTCAATCATTTAGACATACATGTAGCTTTTAGGAAAATATTTGAAGACTAAGTTGCTACCACATAGAAACAGCACCCTTCATTGAACTGAATTTTCATTTCAAAACCTGAGTTCCTGTACATGTATTTCAGTACAGGGATAAAACAATTATTTGTACATGTGTATTGCTTGATCATAAATTGCAAAAGTCTTCTATATCAAGGCCAAATAATTAACATTTCATTCTCCTTTCTCCAAAATTACTTCCTTTTAAGTTAATTTTGTTTCCTTAGCCAAAAATGCAGAAAAAATACCAATGAATAAGGAGGTGATTTACATGAGAAATTTCAGCGTGATTAGGGGGCTGGAATTTTGTTGTGATTACATGACCAAATGTAAATCTTTTCTCCTTTGCAACTACCAGCTTCAGTGATTTCGTTACATTGAAAAAAACAATCACTACATATGTCCAAGGTCCCATTTCAGCCTGGGCTGAAATTCCATTACAATTACATGGGCTTTTTGGAGCTTTTTCATCCTCGCATCCTGGGCATCCAAAATCTCAGCCCCTTCTAACTAAGCTGAAAGTCGCTATGTAATCACCCCCTTAGAAATAAGGTTACATGTACAAAAGGAGGGCAGAAAGTACCAATTATGCCAGTGCAAAGGGATCAGCATCATCAGGAGCAAGGCGGCTCGAGATTATGCCTGTACGACGCCTTTCCACTAACATATTAGCACCTTTTGCACTCCTTCTGCTTGTTGACTTTCGGTCAAGACTGTGCATGACCTGAGTTAGTGCAGGACTCCGCCACTGAAGTGAACTTACACAAAAACCTTTCTTCTTTGGCCTCTCTGAGTCTGAGCTTTCATAGCCATGCTCACTGTTCGACTCGCCCTCCTCAGATTCTGACATAGAATGTTCCGATGACATATAGTCTATGGTCATGAACTTCATGTACTGATCTTTGTCTTCCGCAGCCAAAGATGTAGAAAGGTTGAGAGCTTTCACTCTCTAGTTCTTTTTCTGTATTAAAATAAATTAAACAAAATTGCTCACAATTACACTAAATATGAAAGTCACAAATAGACAAGGTTTGGGTTGAAATTAGCTTATTGATTCTACCTAGCAGAGCTCTTACAGATACTGGGTCTTGTTTAAAGCATTGCTATGGTGTTCAACAGCAGAAAAACTCAAAACAGCTTGAATTTTGAATATTATTTACCGTATTTAGACGGCTTCGGGCTCTCTGTTGCTTTAATACGTCCTGAGCTGCATTTCTTGATTTGTTTACCTCTTGTCGTCTCTTAGTTCGGAAATGGAACCGCATAGCAGCTAAAAAAGAGTAATGTTGTCTTGTTGAAACATGGTAAAGGGTAATTTGCTTCAAATTTTTAACCATTTTAACACTTATTATTAGGTTTATGTTTTTGATTTAAATTGTACTTTTACTTTTCAGAAGGCCACAAGTTTGTCAGTATTCTCATATACTGTTGTGTTACCTTCTTAAAATAAAACCTCTTAATTACTAAACATTTTGATATAATACTTGTGTATCTAAAAACTGCATGTGAGTGCAATAAACTGTTTACAACCAAAATCGGAAGAGGAAGGACTGTGGGTGCAGTTTATTATCCTCTTAACCAATCCAGTGGGTACATGTAAGCAATTATGCTGTGGTTTTAATGTTTATTTGGTTTTAAAATATTTAAATTATTTTGATTTTCATTCTCCTTTGTCTCAGATTCTAGATTATGGTAATCAACCTCAATAATTAAAAGAGATTTCCTAAAAGATCATAAAGTACCCCAAACACCTCATCGACTCTGCCACCAAAAATTTCGTTGACT